ATACTAATAAATTGTCACGCAATGTTTTTAAGTATATAAGCCAAGTTATAGCTAAATATAATTCATTTAAAAAACAATAATACACACTTAATGTACAAAATTCCAGTAAATTGTTATAAAACCTACTTGAATCGAAAATCTGTTTCAATATGGATGAATAGAATATTTTTTTTTTAGAACACTACAGGTTAATATTTTCATTGAATATGATTTGTTTTTATTTCAATGAATTTTTTTATTGAAAAGTTCAATTAATCAAAATATGTGGATTTATTACGGTCACCTGTATTTTTAGTTATTTATACTTTTTCGACATTTTAATGACATTGCAATTATCTACATACATAAATACATTAAAACTTTATGATCGGTTACCATTGTGTAGAAAAAAATATAATACTAAATAACTATTAACGTTTTTAATCGTCAGATTTGTTTGCATTAAAACACTGTGTTGAATATAAAATATGTAGTTTTTTTAAGGAAAGTATAATACGCTTAAGCTTTGTGAATATTTAATATTTCAATTACATTCATACCATTTTCTGTATATTTTCCTAAGATAAATATAAAAATTATAACAAAATAAAATGTTATGGTTATAATAAAAATATTAATTAAATTAAACCTAACCAATTTAAATCCAAATAATTCTAAAAATGGTTGAATGCACGAACAACTGATTTATTGTTAATTAATATATATTGTATAGAAATCACAAAGCTTAAGAATTAATTTGTCGAGCAAATGTTGTATACATAAAATAAAAAAAAACATTTAAATTCTCTTATTTTATGCATTCATTATTAAAAAAAAAAAAAAAACATAATTATTGTTTAGATATAGCATCTTTATGGCTATTTTAATTTTAATTATGAAAATAATTTATCTTTTTGTGTCATTGTTCTGATGACAGAACTTTAATTTATTCTTATCTTAAACAAAGCGTTTCTTAAAACAGCATCAAGTTTCATATTATATTTTTCTAATTAACAATAATTATTGTAGAAACCCAGCAACTTAATAGAACAGTTTTTCAGTTTGGTTTTTAGCATTCCGAGAAAGCAAGAAAGCACTGTTTTTGATTCAACTATTATCATTAGGACTTATGCACACACAGTGAAAACGGTCTGAAAAAGACTGCGAGTGAAAAGTCATTCATCCTAGGATGGAAGAATCGTCGGTATCGAAAAATGAAATAAGATTTTATTTTATTTGAATTGAATGGAATTGAAAACAGTCCTAAATATAACTTTGCTGATATCTCGAGTTTCCCTCGAATACGATTGTCGTCCGTCTTATTCCAATAAAAAAAATATACGCATATTATATATTATAATCTTTGCACGTCTAAAAACGTGTTACTTAATATTCACCGCGAAACTAAAAAAAAATATGTGTATAATTTGTGTAGTGCGCAGCTGGTGAGAAAGTCGATGAAATTAAATTTAAGAATGTTATGGTTTTAATATACAATTTAATAAAATAAAAACGTGCCAGGCGGTGTGCGCATACATTTTTTATTTACCAAATATCGTACTTATAGGTATTTTATAACTTATCATAATATATACGAAACGAACATAAATAAAATATATGTGTGGAAATTATTACAATTATAATATACAAAAATATTCAGTAAGTACAAAATAATAACATTTTACCCACACAGTATGAGGATATAGAGAAAGGTGCTAGGGTAAAAATAAATAAATCTTATGCGACTCAATTATTCAAGCAATAACCTAAACATGATATTGTGTACAATAGGTATTAATGGCGTAATTCGTTTTTTTTTTCTAAGGGGAGGATGGGCATTTAAGCTTTTCCGTTATTTGATTTTAAGCAGTTCGATGAGTGTTGCTGAAAAAAATAACTATTCTTATGTTGAGCGAAACTATATATACCTACATGAACTAAAATGTTAGTGAATTATGATTTATGACGCTAATAATAATTTTATAAAAATTATGTATTTTTTAATAAAGTGATCATACATACCTCACCATTTTAATAAAGGAATCATAGGTACCTCACAATAGGGCCAATCCAACTCTTAAATTATTTATCCGCTATTTTTAAAGAACCTCGGATATTATTTAATATTTTTCACTTTTTCATAGTAATTTAATTTGTTAAGCTTCTAAAAACGTACTTGCCAAGTATATTTTTCAAGTCCTCTGTGGCTTTTGTAGGCTGTTAAATATTAATATTGTGACTATGGTAATACATAATAAAAATCCATTATTACGGCAATACAATATGCATGCATGGCGATTGTATTGAGATACAAAAGTAAGTAAACATGTGCAGGTGGCGAGCAAGCTTGAAGTTTTTTTTTCACAATATTTTTCATGGTAAAAACCTCCCCATCTCCTCCACATATCAAAAACATAAATTACGCCACTGATAGGTATATAGTGTGCGTGAGCGTACCTAATGCGTGTTATAAACGTGTAAGTATAATATTACTCGATTTCGGCGGATGATTTATTCGCAAAACATTTCAACAACGAATCTGTATTATACGGTCGTGACGTGCAAGTAGTACTTATTTTCATATCATTGTCCAGTGTTATTATTATAGTAATCTGTAAGATCATATCGTAGTCGATCAGTGTGATGGGAGGTGCACACGCCCAACGTTTTCCACGGTTTGGCAGTAACACGCCCCGAGAATGTTCACTTAGAGATTATAAACTATAATATAGATAAATAGGACGAACGGTAATATATTTCTAGAAAGATAAAGCAAACCAGGCAGAAACCAAATCCGATTGCAAAATACTGATTTTTCCACCGTTTGTGTCGTCTAAAATACACCCCCGTCCATAAAAAGACCTACCGGCTACCAGAATTAGAAAATAATAATATTCCTATCTGTAAGGTCCTCTCGTAGTCGATCAGTATGATGGGAGGTGCACATGCCAGACGAATTCCATGATTTGGTAGTATCACACCCCCAAAATGTTCATTTAAATTTTATAATATATAGGTAAATAGGAGAAACGGTAAATTTCATTTAAAAATAAAACAAACCAGGCAGAAACCAAATCCGTTACCATAATATGCTGATTTTACCACCATTTTCGACATTTAAAATACACCCCAACCCTTAAAACGTACCGATAGGAATTAATAAATAATTTAATATTTCGGTCAGTCAATTCTTAGTCCGCCGCCGCCAACTGTCTGAGATTAGTTAGCAAGAAAGTTTTAACTTCCCCGATGTTGTCTTACAACCTATTAATAATTATTATTAATTTACCTAAGGACGACATCATAAACAATGTGCATTGACGCTGGACGTTGATTAAGACTTAAGATTAGTGCTTATTAATTACTATATAAGTACCTAGATGGGTAGGAACCTACCAAAATAGATGTTTTTCTGACTTAAAATAGAGTTGAATTAATTAATTAAGAGTTGATGTAATATAGATAATATTGGTAACATTCGGATATGGCTTGATCGGAATTTCCACAAATTAGTGTACCTCAGATTTTTATAATTTAATATTATTTAAGAAACAAAAATATTAAATAGTTATAAATTATAATAATTACAATAATATATAATATTTTTAAATTGAAACAAATTATAATATAATTAAAACTCAATGCAATAAGAGTTTCACATGTTACTGAATTAGCAACCAGTGTATACAATGTTTGAAAATATATTATTTAATTTATATAAAATTAAATACTGGTGGTTTAGGGTAATGAACATTTAAATGGTTAAACAGATTTTCTTGATTAGTTTTTGTTGTTCAAAAAAAAAAAAAATGTTTTAACATATTTTTTTTCGTGTGCATCCAATTTGAGTTGTCAGATTTTAACATCTTGAAGTTTAATTTATTATTATTATTAGCATATTTTTTCTCAAATTAAATAAAAATAATTAAACAAGTATACCTATATATAAGTGGATAACTTTAAAAGTAAGTACCAAACCTAATAACTGGTTATGCAAAATTAATAACAATGAATTAAGTAAATTTATAAAAGTAGAAAGGTATCATCAAGTAAAATAAAAAAAATCTGAAAAAAATAATTACAGGCCCGAATAATTAATACTTGTTTGCCCTTGCGCCGGATATAATACTGTTACCTATTGTTTGAAATTAAACTAATTTTCACTAATTTTATATTAGATTTTTCCAAGAAATACCTATATATCTGATGAAAACCACTAGTTAAATGGATCCATCCCGTTCGGTCGATCGCAGCTGAGACTATACACAAAGCCGGACCAGTAGTAGTAGCGAGGGTGCAGGGGGTGCAATGCACTGAGGTCTCAGGTTGATGTCTTAGATTTTCTAATTTATTAATGAACGGTGATCCAACCCGCGGATCTCGATGCCTTTTTATCCCCTCCATCAACCCACCCTAGAAGACTTATATTAAAAAGAAGTCGGTCCAAGTGCTAAAGAAGTACCTAACCTTCAAAATCATGATTCAATTCAGCTCGCTACGTACGGTATCGTGTTTGACGTGTGTATAGCAGTAACAGCGAATCAAAATTCTAGTGGTGGTAGATCGATAATAAAATATAAACAATACAATTTTTTTTTCTTTTGGCGGAACCCAGTGTTTCTATGAAAGTGTGAATCGGCCCTCCAGGTATAAAAGGTAGGACCACTCTGTAATATTGTAAAAAAAAATACATTGTTAGCAATATTATATATTGATGAAGAAAACAATAATTTAATAAAATTACCAACAGCCGTTTAATATACATAGACTATTATGGGCTAAGTCTATCCGTACTTGTGACTTCGCTTTAATTGAACACATGACTACATGAGCCTCGAGGTACCTATAGTTGAAATGTTTTCTTTTTAAAAACCATCTGAACTTTTGACAGACGACAAAAAATATATAACTAATGCATCATGTATTATACGTATATATAGGTGTTTTTATAAATTGCAATTTTATTTATTATAAGGCCAAAAAGATATTATTATCAGAGACTGACTCAGATCCGGAACTGCATGACCTGCATGACGTTATCATTAATTTGCACTTTGTCCACAGGCGTGGACGTGAAGCCGTCGGATGTGGACGGGCTGCCGTACAGCACGCTGCTCTATGGTAACGGGCCCGGCCACAGTGCCGAACACCGGTTGGTGCCCATGGTGAACGCCACTGACGCCGAGACGCACAACCGGTTGCACGGGGCCGCGGTGCCCCGTCAGTGGGCCACGCATGGAGGCGAAGACGTGCCCGTGTACGCGGCCGGGCCACAGGGCATCACGCAAGCACTGTTCTCCGGCACGTTCGACCAGTCTTACGTGCCGCACGCCATCGCTTACGTGGCGTGCCTGGCCGAGCACGCCGAACGATGTCGCCGACAGGACGCCGAGGCCGTCAACCGAAGCAACAGCGACACCACGTTCACCGCCGGTAAGGCGGGAGTCCTTGGGGTCGGACCTTCGTCGCAGGTAACGTTTTTCTTTGATGGTTTTTTGCTATTTGTTTTGTAAAGTTCGTTTTAACTACTGGGCGTGAACCAAGCGGCAGCAATGAATAGGATTCGAAGCCCAAAGCCTAAAAAAATTCCATAAACTAAATAAAAACACCTGTTCTATAATCTTATCTTAAATGAACGGTTTGAAAACCGATATTTGTTAAACTTGATCGATTTTAAATTTATTGTAATATTGATAACATTCTACTTTAAATCGTAGTTAATAAATCAGAGACGGAGAACGAGTTTGGGCTATTTTTAATTTGTATTAGCTATCGGTTATTATCACCCCGTTGGAATAAATAGGTACATACACGAAAATATTATACTTAAGACGTATTACAATATGATTTATTAATAAAAAGTACAATCTCTAAGTTCGAATAAATATTATTACGAAAAACAAAATTATTCTTAACATAACATTCACTAGAATGAGGTACTTTGGACAATGTTGGTTGTAATTTTGAACTTGCTTCGGCAGTTGTACATAATATACTAAAATTGGAATTTGATCAGGGGTCTAAATTATCATCAAAATAGTTTTATTCTGCAATTAAACGTTGGTTTGTTGAATTTTATTCTGTCTAGAATTTCAGGACAGTCTAAGTAACTATTGGCTATAGAAACTAAGTCCAGGTATTATGGCACTGGACCAAAGGTTTCAGGCCACATAATTTAAAACCTCTTCAGAAGATTTCTATGCCATTTTTATCTCGTACACCACCATTCTTCCACATTTTTTCTGTACTCTCTCCTATTAGTTCATTAACTTGTCCAATTCGTATAGATTCTCAAAATATATAGCCAAACTCAACAATCGCTTAAGTTAGAGGCCCAGAAATTACTTTTTATCGGTGCCTCAGAATCCTAGTTGCGCCACTGCATATAGGTGAAACCTGAACAATCAGAACCAAAAGACGCATCCGGTGAATTAAATCTCGGCAAACACCGAGAGTAATACATTTCACATTACTACTTTAAGTAGAGAATTCCGTTAAACTGTGTCCGTATATGGCTGGTGTAACTCAACTGAGTGGACTGCACAGTGGAGGGGTAAAGCACTCTTCCGTAAACGTAAGAACAAGTTTATAATAAATAACCAGCTACGTCATAAAAAATAATTCACTAAATAATTTTTAGATTCTGAGTGGAGCGATGAAGCTAATGGTTTTATAATGGTGTTTATTTTATTTTTTTTTATATATCCACTATACAAAATTTCTACTAGAAGGAGTGCTTCGACTTCCACATAATAGTACCTTATATTTTAGCAAATTTAATCAATATGGTACTTTAGAGGGGTCATTTTTTGATTTTATCAATAGTTATTGACCAAAAAATTACGAAAAACCGTTAAAAATGGAATTTTAATTTCTAATGCTTTGTTTATTATCATAGGAATGAATAAAAAATTATAATATTATTATAATATTAATTCAACTTACATGAATAATAAATAATAACCATATGAAACATCCAGACTGACAAACCGTCTTCGCTCAGAATCGTTTTTCTTATACAATGATATTATATCATTGAATTCAAGTTCAATAAAATCCATTATATAATAACCCACTGGTAACCTACTGTACAGCAGAGCGACATCCACTTACCCGTTTTTTTTTTAAATAATATTTTTTTCGTGAATACGAAATTATTATCATCGTATGAAACCTATGCCGGACTGAGCGGGAGGTCCTAAAATATCAACAAGCGGTAGGAAGAAAACCAGTTGCATCAGACGCATATAACTATATAAGAGAACCAGCATCGTTAGAGTCTTGGACAACAAGAGTATCAAGAATTCCCGATATTAAGTTTCATATTTTTTGCCGTGCCGGACATTTGTGATGTACCGTTAGTAGCCTATCTAAGACGCCACGTAACTATAATATATTTTATAAAATAGTGATGACTGATGAGTGATGGCCAACAATTCCGACATCGTTTTAAAAAAATTATCATATACATACTGTGTATTGGCTAGCTGTAGATTTGTAGATAAAATATTTTACCCGATAAACGCCATATCTTTATTCAAATTCGATTTGAACTACTTGAAACGAATTAAAACTATGCTACAGGGACCAAAAATAATGTTAATGGCCAAGATTTAAGAAATCAATTTGAATATAGATTTTGCTTTATGAAGTAGGTACATATACGAAATTATGAAAAATGAAAATAAAATATGTTTAAATGATCATCGAAGTCGATATTTATAGTTATATTTTAGTATTATTTACGATTTCTGAAAATTTTTAACGATATTGATATTATGTACCGTTAGACATCTTTAGTGTTTTATAATTAAAAAAAAAATAGTTACTTAATAGTTATAAATTTTAACTTGTAATATTTATTTTAAAATATATTATATGATGCATTTTTTTTCAACCAAAAGTAGCTAAAAGTAGTACCTTGTGCTTATGTGCTGGTTTATGTGGTGTAACTGATACATAGTGTCAGCATAATGTTGTATTCGGTACTCATTGGTTAGTCGTTAGTGCCTCTGAGACTGTCGATTTAAGCGAAAAATATAAAAAGAAAAAACCGTAACACACGTATACTGTCTGCATTTATCGACGTCAATCCAACAAAGTATATTATAATATTATGTATATAAGTAGCATTTTAATAGTGTACTAGTATGCCCAACGGAGTCGTAAAACGTGAGCATCCATCACAGTAAACATAATTTTATTTTGATCTGTTTTCTATGCAGAGAAGTTTTCTAGAAAAATTCAGTAGCTATGACCGATAGTGGAAAACTTATTTTTTTGCGATAACACTCATCCGTACATAACTTAATCAACGATATGATAAACATTCGATGGAATTTTGTGAGACCTCAACTATAAACAAATGTTTTACGTTAGTGCGTTGTTGTATTAACATATTTCGAAGAAAACTTTTCATTATTTTAATTCATTGGTCACATTTATAAACACTTTACACAGACGTAAGTAGAATAATAGTTTATAACCTGAAAAATAACGACGAGACGAGTCTTTTAAATAATAATCATCATCTTGTATTCCAATCTATGCTGAATAAATAGTGCAAATAATCTATATTTCGTCGGTAATGATATAGGTACCTTAATATAAGTAGGACCAGGAAGTTGATCCATTTGCATGTTTTTATGAGCCATTCGATGTATTGCTATAAGTACCTAAGCTTTATAAATATTGATTTCATGATATTACGAAAAACATATTAACAGTTTATACGTAGTGATTTTGTGGTGTTAAAGACATATTTATTTGTTACCATTTTTTAATTATTTGATCACTTTAATAGTTTAATGATAAGATAATAATACGATTTAAACAATCGGAAATACAAATAATAAATACAGTTTAATGTATTTTGAGAGTTTTCACTGAGTATTATAATTGTATCAAATTTAAAATCCCTTGTTGGTATTCAATTTCACGTTTTTATTAGGTTATAACTATTCAGTAAAAATAATTATAAAATATAAAAATATTTTTTGGAAAATATTTGTACTCACAAAAATTATAATTAAAAAAAAAATATCTGAGTATTTTTAAAGCATATTTGTTTTTATAGTTAAGGCATAAGTTAGAACTTTTCAATTGAATTAAGTTCCGAGCCCTACTCTTAGAAGTTGAATATTATAAGTTGAAGATCTCTGCAGATTATTGTTTCATTCATGTGCTATAATAATGTGTTTTACAACAAAATATGTGACTCGACACTAACGCACCTGGTTTTAGTTTTTCTCAGTTTGGTTGTCGTCAATTTATGTTGGAAAACAAACAAATAACGTGATGAGCAAGGTCAGCTGGGATTGTCTGTAATTCATTGTTGAACAAAATTCTTGGCCATTCGCCTTTTTTGCATACGTAGGTCACAATGGTAAAAATCTTATAATTCAATCGACAAAAAATATTTATAGCTTCACTCAAAATAATAATTTTTTTAAGCCATTACTATGTAAATTCATGTAAATTCTGTATGGATACAGTTAGTACATATAGTCAAACCGGGCGACTTGGAACTGGGAGGTGACTTTAAACAATTGTGTTATTTTTTGATAACGGCGTTTAATTTTATGCTAGATAAGGGAAATTCTGCTTCCACAACAATATTTTTCGGAACGTTTGGTTATCATCAAAAATGTGTTATCTCTTATCAATAAGCCATGTGATACAATCATAATTTAATAAAAAAAATCCAAATTTTCAACTCCTAAATTAAGAGCTTCGAAGGTATACTTCAGCTTCAAAAATCAAATTATTGTTATTTTTTAGTGATGTAGTGATGATTCCTAATGTGTTGTTAGTGTTAATCGTTAAGTAGAATTAGGAAATAATAATATTTACATTTTTTAGGGTTATTTTTATTTTCCGTAAAAAATAAGTGGGTTACTTGGAACATGGGTACGTAGGTCCCTATATTACTTGGTACCGAAATAATTTTTTTTGTCTACAAAGTTTAGTTATATAAATATGTTGGTTAAATTTATTTTAGTATCAAAGACTGTAACTTATAAAAAAGTATTATTTGGTAATAAATAGCCACCTAGTTTTAAAAAAAATGTTAATTAGTTTTTAAATTAATAAAAATATGGTTTTTCACACTTTTTTTTAAAAAATAATTGTAGCGTTCCAATTGACCCTCCACAAACATTAAATGCAATCTGCATTTGAAAAAACGCATGTTCCAAGTCACCCAAAACTCCTTGTGACTTGGAACAAACACTTTTTATTTTTATTTTTTACCTTAATTTACTTAAGAACTTTATTTTTTTTTTGTTCAATCTATTCCTTCGAGGTGTGCGGCACTACATGATTTTTTACAGAATTTAATTATCAATAATGAATGTGTTAAAGTAGTTAAAAGGTCAAAATCGTTCAAAGTCACCCGAATAATAATGTGTACCTTTAAGGAGGTGGTTTTTGGATATTTCGCTGTAATAATTTTCCAAAAAAATCATAATATATACCAATATGTATTGAACGTACTGCGTGACATTCAACGTTG